TCTGTTGTGTGGCTGTATAAGTACCCATACAAGTATTCTCTGTGTTTTTATTATATGTATTTCTATCTGTATCCATCTGATGAGTTAAGCCTTTTTAAACTGACTTTTATTGTTGTTTTCTTATGTTGTACTGTTACATCACTGTCCCAAGTTAAGGGTGGGTTGGCGCCTTTAAACGAGTTTAACCCCGCCACATTCTGTATGTATACGCCTGTCCCAAGTCAAGAGCCTGTAATTAAGTGGTTGTCGTTTGTCGATATGTGATATGTAACATATTTGTTTATCGTTCATTATTTTGTACATAAATAAGGTCGTTAGTTTTCTCCTATGAATTGTTTTACATTTGTCATTATGGGGCCTTTTATAGCTTACTATGCGGTATGGGCTTTGCTCATATTTGAAGGACGTACAGTGACCTATAGTTGTTAGTTTGGTCTTCTGTGTCAGTTTTTCTCATTGGCAATCACATCACATCATTCTTCTTATTTTTATATAACATCCAAATAACGCTTCACTTGTTCAATTACTATAGTAGTTTAATTATTCCTTTTTTTCTGGAGTAAAATTAAAAAAAGTACAATTAAGTACAATATAAGCATTTATTTGCTCATTTGATTGTCATCACACACTCCATTAAAACAATTAAACAATCCAATGTTGGCCGAAATAGATAAGTCCGAGACTACACCATTTATCATAATCAATTTAGCTTGTAGACGTTACGGATTTAAAGGGGCATTAGCTACGAGATATAAAAAAATAAAATAGGTGTTTTTTTTTTTGTTCTACTATAAAGTGCAATAGCGAAATAATAATTCGCTTTTAGCAGCCAGTTTGGTTTAATTTTGTCGAAATAAGACAAATAAGCTAAGAAACATCACATATGAATTATCCACTTGCAATCTACGTATCAGAAGTAATTTTTAGAAAGATTACAGAAATATTCTTGTGTTTTACCGTTTTTCATAATGTGTGGCAAAAATTGTCAAAAGATTATAAGTGTTACAAGGCCGCATTCATTAACCGGGAACTTTTTTACCCCTTTTTTACCCCAAGATGGTACTCTGAATAAAATCTTCTGCGACTCCTGATTGGATGATACACGGTTGGAATTGTTCCAATTAAATAAGAATTTAAGCAGCGATCGATCAACGATGTAATACACAATCTTGAACAGGTGAGTCCGGGCTGTAACCTGACACGACCCCGGACTAGCTTGAAGTTTACTATACCTGCGTGTATTGCATTACGATTACTAACTGTAAATAAACTGTTTATTGTCGTAAAGCTTGTTGACGGAACATTTAAAACATAAAATAAAACTAGGTGAGTCCGGGACGTGACCTGAAGTAACCTTGGACTAGGAGTATAGGAATTATATATATATTCAATTAATTGCTGAATTGAAAGATGTTTTTTTTCTTTTCTTTATTCATTTCTTTATTTCTTTAATTATTTAATTGTCATCGGAATAATCAATAAAAGACACGTAAGCAGCGATCAACGATGTAATACACAATCTTGAACAGGTGAGTCCGGGCTGTGACCTGACACGACCCCGGACTAGCTTGAAGTTGACTATACCTGCGTGTATTGCATTACGATTACTAACTGTATATAAACTGTTTATTGTCGTAAAGCTTGTTGACGGAACATTTGATCTTACGTGTAATACATAGAAAATTTAAAAGACATTTATCCTAGATTCAACGAAATAATCAAATGTTGGTCGTAATAGGCGAGTCCGGGTGGTGACCTGAAGTGACCCCGGACTAGGTGTATTTGCAAAATATAGACATCGATAGAAATATTAAACTTTACACATTATTTGATAAAAAAAGGTTTCTCAGTTTTATTCATCTAACTTTTTGCTTATTTGATTGTCATCGGAAAAAATACGCATACACAGTTTAAAAAAAAAATTATATCAGACAAGGTTTCTACCTATCGGCAAGCTATTTGTATAATAAACTTCATACGGGATACGGAACAAGTTGGTTTTTTTTTAAATAAATATAGTCAGTCGTTTTTAAAATGTATGGGAATTATAGATAAAATCACTTTTATAAATTATCTTATAGTTCAAAGTCAAACTAGCGGTGTTCCTTGTAAACAAAGTTTTCAAAATCTGATTTTGTTCATAACGCTTTAATTTAATAAATTTGTTTAATTCGGTCCTTCCCTAATTTGATCATCAGCATGGCTACGGATTTCTTGCCAGAGGTATTGTGAGGAGACATGACCAGGTATTCAAGCGATTTCCTGTCGGACTAAAAACACTTATTATACAATTACGTAATGCTGGTTCATGCATCGCTGACTGCTGACCATATATACCACTGTGTATACATCAGAATACACGGCCGGTAGTTTGGAACGTTCAGGTGTAATATACATACACATTTTGTTTGTTTTGAATCCGACAGTGATACACGATACATTTCTTAACTCATATGAGGCAAATTTACTACCACTTGTTTATGTATAACAAATTTGTAAATAAACACACTGTATGTATGATTTATTTATTATTATTATTATTATAATGCATCTTGTTATAGTTCTCCAAAAATTACCATCCTTCTCCTGAATAAAAAAGGAAAATATAATTCTAAGAAAATTCACTTTCCCCTATAATTTATCCAAAAATATTTCCATGTGTTTTAAGGTCATTTGTAAATATGCATACTGTAGGTAGGATTTATTTTTATTATTATAAATTATAATGCATCTTGTTACAGTTCTCCAAAAATTTAACTTCCTTCTCTTGAATAAAAAAGGAAAAAATAATTCGAAGAAAATTCACTTTCCCCAAACAATATTTCCATGTGTTTTAAAGTTAAGTTGTAAATATACATACTGTAGGTATGATTTATTATTATCATAATGCATCTTAATACACTTCTCCAAAAAAACTATCTCCCTTCTCATGAATAAATAAGGGAAACATAATTCCAAGAAAATTCACTTTCCCCCAATAATTTTTACCCAGTCCGGGTCCGGCAGTTAGTCCGGGTCCGGGTTTCATACCAAAGTCCGGGTCCGGAGTCCAGTCCGGTCCGGGTTTCAGGACGTACCATAAATTGCATATTTATATCTTAAATAATTGTGTCCGTTCAGAAACATGCACTTTATCATTGTACTTCCGATGTATCTGATTTTTTTTCTCTCTTCTTGTGTTCACAACCTTATCATATGTCTTGTTTGTTTTCCATCTAGTGTAACATTGTTTAATTTTATACATTCTACTCCTTGAGTATTACAATATGAAATGTTCTTATTTGAATTAGGAAACAGATTAATATAAGTTAACAGCTTGTTTCCGGATCCTATTAATTATTCAATTGTATTAATATGTAAATGCCAAATTGTGTACATTATTTATCTTGAATTTAATTAATAAAATATGTTTACACTAAGGATGATTTTGGCCATATTTGCTTAAATTTTGCCAGTAGTTTCAGAGGAGAAGATTTTTGTAAAAATCGACGACGACGGATGCCAAGTGATGAGAATAGCTCACTTAGCCCTCTGGGCTAGGTGAGCTAAAAAAGCAAAACGGACAAAAAGCAAAATTATCGGACAAAAAGCAAAACGGACAAAAAGCATAATTATCGGACAAAAAGCAAAACGGACAAAAAGCATAATTATCGGACAAAAAGCAAAACGGACAAAAAGCAACGGACAAAAAGCAAAAGTGTCGGACAAAAAGCAAAATTATCGGACAAAACGCAAAAGCAGACAAAAAGCACCGTATCATACCAGTAAACATTTTTTAACAACTGACACTGAATGATTACAACAGCTAACATGGCCCATAAGACGAGGTGTCCAGGGGCGGGTCCAGGTAAGGGCGTAATGGGCGTATGCCCCCCCCCCCCCTTTTAATAAAAAAAACTATCGTAATCTGCTAATATTGTATTGAATATGGCAATTTATCATATTCAGACATTAAACTCGATTATGATAAAATAATTGACGATTATGCCATGAGGATTCCGCGTAAAATGGTTCTAATGAATCCTCTCTAGTCTAACCATTCATTGAAAATGAGACTCCATCATTATTTCTGTGTTCATTCTAGGTTTTGCGTTAAGGTACATTTATACTAGTAACATGTATATTTGGTATAGCATTTTTACTTCCATTCTGGATAGGCTTTGGTAGTATCATATTGTTTCACTATCCATCAGTGAGTAACTAAGTGACATTGATCTACATTTTGCCATGAAGTTCAAGCACCATATTTATTTATGTACCATATTCCACCTATCGGAACTAGACAGTGACATGATTGCTTTAATTTAGTACCTTAGTACAATGACGACAATTTTTCATATTCAATCATGTATTCCACATTAAAGCCTACCATATTTAGAACGAAAGAACTTTATACTTCAGTGTTTGTTTGTCTTGTATCATGTGTGTCGTTCAACGAAACCCGAACGTAATCTAAAATAGAGAAATATTTATCAGTCTGGCTACTTCATAATTTGATGCTAAATTGTTGAAATCCGGGAGCTTCTGAGCTTCCCCATGGACCCTCTACCAGGGCAACCGTAATTTCGCCTCCCGTTCATAAAATCCTGGCCTTCAACTATTGAAATGTTAAGTAACGCCTTATACCCTAGAATTTGGAATTTCTCGTTATTGGTCTAGTGCTGTTAAGATCCATCCAATCATTTTCATATACCATAGACAATTAATGAAGAGAATTCGGCATAAAAAATGTCAAACCCTGACACTTTAACTATAAAATATACATTCTCGAAGTCAGGAACCGTTACATTAGTGCATTTCACAATTATTTTATGTTTTTTAGCAAAAAAAAGGTCCAAATTTTTTTCGCCACGCTATGTTCGGTGAAAGATTTGATTCTACGCCCCCTCTTTCAAATATCTTAGAAACACCCCTGGTGTCAAGTGAGTTAACAAAAGTAGAATATCATCCAGCACAACAATGGAATCATATCTAAAAGGAAGATCAAATAAAATGAAGAATGATAAAACAAACAATTTATTTTTGTCATGAATCTGCAGATCTGTTCCTGTGAAGTTGTTGTCATAGTGATGATAATGTGATCAAAATGGCCTCTAAAAAGAGAGAAATATCTTTCAGTATAAAGCATAATAATTTGTTTCCATATTTTCACCTAGAAATGCATGAATTATTTTTGCGAAAACCCCCCCTTTTTTTTTTAACAAAAAACTCAATATCTCTAAAATAAAATTTTGAATCAAAACCAAAAAGTATACAGATCTTAAGATTAATATAACTAAGAAGTTTGTAAAATTTTAAGCAATAATCATAAATCGTTTTTGAGATACGGCGTGACATGTGAAATAAAATGCTTCACTGAGCGCAGCCTGATACGACCGCAGAGGTCGAACCCTGAACAGTTGGGGCAAATTTGGATATAATATTCAAGCTTGATACTGTCTGAATTTTGATTGTGATCAAATTTTTGACATAATATAGGTTTCTGACACAAAATAAATGTGGTAAAAGATCTTACAAATCTATTGTGCAATACTGTGCAATTGAAGATTACTTCTGGAAACATTTACAAAATTTGAAATTTGAAAATTTTTGAAAAAAATATGAATTCCTTAAAAAAATTGGAAACCCCCCCCCCCCCCCCCCCCCACCACTTTTGGAATCCCCCTTGGAGCAATTACCCCAAGACTTGATCCAATTCTTTCGTTTGTAGTATGGAACCTTGTAGTACAATTTCAGAGAGATCCATACACATCTAACACAAGTTATTGTTTGGAAACTAGAATAATGCATGTTTTTGGCCCTTTTTTGGCCCCTAATTCCTACATGTTTGAGGCAATTACCCCCAAACTCAATCCCAGCCTTCCCTTTGGGATATGGAACCTTATGGTACAATATCAGAGAAATCCATACACTTACACACAAGTTATTGTCCGGAAACTACAAAAATTGTTGTTTTTGGCCCCTTTTAGGCCCTTAATTCCTAAACTGTTTGCCCCATAACCCCTAATTTGAATCCCAACCTTCTACTTGTGGTATTAAACATTGTTGTACAATTTCAGAGCAATCGAAATACTTATACACAAGTTATTATCCTGAAACTAGAAAAATGTTTGTTTTGGGCCCCTTTTGGGCCCCTAATTCCTAAACGGTTGGGACCATCATCCCCAAAATCAATCCCAACTTTCCTTTTGTGGTATTGAACCTCTTAAAAAATTTCATAGAGATCCATTAACTTAAACTAAAGTTATTGTCCGGAAACCAATGTGTCATCGGATGACGACGAAGACGACGTAGACAACGCAGACATCATACCATTATACGATCCCAAAAATTTTTTTGCGGTCATATAAAAACTTCTTAATTTTACTTGAAAACTCTAAAAATTGTTTTAATTGGATGGGTTTGAGTCATTTGAATAGTGAAATCATTACATCAAATGAGATTGAAGACAAATATTTGAAGCAATATTTTTCCTAATTTTTTTTTTTTCTACTTCTACTGATGTTGGTCTCTGTCACCTCAGTAGTTAGGTAATTTGTACAAAAGTCTTCATGTTTTCATGAAAAGAGTTTTATTTTGTAACAACTAGTCTTTGCCTTTATTACAACACTAGTAGTCTTGATGATGGCAGTCTTGTGTTACTGTTGAACCTGACTAGGCCAACAAATTTTAATGTTTTCCATGCCAAAAAAAGAGGATTCTTTTTCTGAATTTTGGGAGGGCATGCACTGAGAGCACCCCCACCCTCCCTGACTGGTGTTATTGTGGTATTATTATTTACCTGATGGTTCAATTGATTGATTGTTGGTTGCTTAACGTCCAGTGGCAAATATTTCATGCATATTCAGGACGATCTGATGGTTCAATATGGCACGTAAACACATGATACAAACATGAACATCATCTCTGGCCTCCCCATTGACAGCACCCCAACCTCCCTGACTGGTGTTATTGTGGTACTAGTATTTACCTGATGGTTCATTATGGCACATAAACACACGATACAAACATGAACATCATCTCTGGCCTCCCAAAATTTAATTTGGAATTTTGGATACTTCGGGGAGAACCTATTGTATTTGATCGCTTAAGTCTTCGTGTTGGACTCCAAGACAATCCATCTAGACTAGCACTCTTCTCTTTGTTAAGTAATTGCTCCCTTCTGCAATGATAACACTTTAATAAATCACAAATGCATACATACATCTACAAAAGTAAATTGTAGCAATGTTTTAAAAAATTTATTCAACATAAAATTCCACAAAAAATATCAAAACTAGATGTATAATTAAAATTTGTCATACAAAAGAAACAAAGGAGATTTCATAGGTTTGCAAATAAGATAACTATCCATATAGACCTAAGAACCAGTTAAGGAGAATGTTTACCTCATGACAACCTGTGTAAATGATAAATAGTCCACTAAAACATCTAGTCCATGGTTTTCTTCACTCAAAAATCTCTCGTACCCATCTGTAAAACAAAAATATACTTTAGACATTAGTCATAGGTTTTATCAGTAGAATGACAGAGGTCAGTTGATCATTGACATTGTAATAGATTTTATCAGTAGGATGACAGAGGTCAGCTGATAATTGACATTGTAATAGGTCTTATCAGTTGGATGACAAGAGGTCAGCTGATAATTTACATTGTAATAGGTTTTATCAGTATGGTAACAGAGGTCAGCTGATAATTGACATTGTAATAGGTTTTATTAGTTGGATGACAGAGGTCAGCTGATAATTGACATTGTAATAGGTTTTATTAGTTGGATGACAAGAGGTCAGCTGATAATTGACATTGTAATAGGTCTTATCAGTAGGGTGACAGAGGTCAGCTGATCATTAAAATTTTAATAGGATTTATCAGTAGGATGACAGAGGTCAGCTGATAATTGACATTATAATAGGTTTTATAAGTTGGATGACAGAGGTCAGCTGATCATTAAAATTGTAATAGGATTTATCAGTAGGATGACAGAGGTCAGCTGATAATTGACATTGTAATAGGTTTTATCAGTTGGATGACAAGAGGTCAGCTGATAATTGACATTTTAATAGGTTTTATTAGTTGGATGACAGAGGTCAGCTGATCATTAAAATTGTAATAGGATTTATCAGTAGGATGACAGAGGTCAGCTGATAATTGACATTGTAATAGGTTTTATCTATTGGATGACAGAGGTCAGCTGATCATTAAAATTGTAATAGGATTTATCAGTAGGATGACAGAGGTCAGCTGATCATTGACATTGTAATAGGTTTTATCCGTTGGATGACAGAGGTCAGCTGATCATTAACATTGTAATAGGTTTTATAAGTTGGATGACAAGAGGCCAGCTGATAATTGACATTGTAATAGGTTTAATTAGTTGGATGACAAGAGGTCATCTGATAATTGACATTGTAATAGGTTTTATTAGTTGGATGACAGAGGTCAGCTGATCATTTAAATTGTAATAGGATTTATCAGTAGGATGACAGAGGTCAGCTGATAATTGACATTGTAATAGGATTTATCAGTAGGATGACAGAGGTCAGCTGATCATTGACATTGTAATAGATTTTATCAGTAGGGTGACAGAAGTCAGCTGATAATTGACATTGTAATAGGTTTTATCAGTAGGACGACAGAGGTCAGTTGATCATTGACATTGTAATAGGATTTATCAGTTAGATGACAGAGGTCAGCTGATAATTAACATTGTAATAGGTTTTATCAGTTGGATGACAGAGGTCAGCTGATCATTAAAATTGTTATAGGATTTATCTGTAGCTATATAGGATGGCAGAAGTCAGGTCTGCTTTGAATTGGAATACCGGTAGGTTTTATCAGTAGGATGGCAGAGTTCAGCTGATCATTAAAATTGTAATAGGTTTTGTCAATAGGATGACAGAGGTCAGCTGATCATTAACATTGTAATAGGTTTTATCAGTACTATTGTAGAAGTCAGCAATGTTTTGGCATTGTAATAGGTTGTCAAATAAAGTAGAGAGTTTTTTTAACATGAATGGATATTAGCAGCAAGTTGAGGAATACCACCTTAATTTGTGTATTCCTGATGGATACAGACTAGTTCGATTTGGTATTATAAGTTTAAGCAGTACCTTGTGGGAAGGCTGAACTTTCAAAAGCAAAGTATGAAAAGAAAACCTTTAGACTATGTTGCTATAGATATTAGCAATTATAAATTCTCTACACTTTCTGTAAATATGATGGGTAACATTTTTTTTTGTTGTCTTTTTCTTTAATACTATTCAGCAGGTATATTCCCTGTCTGATCCATTAGTTCTGGCATGTTAACACTTACTCTGTATGATTGGTACGAAGTGAAATTTCCAAGTCCCGTAGTACCTGTGTGGATGATGAATCTGCCAACATTTTCCTTTTCTGAAAATATAAAATAATAGAACATTTGGATGACATCAAAAACAATTCCTCTTAGTATCTCATGCTGACTGACATACGTCATATAGTTTCATAAGACATCATTGCTTCTTTACATTTACAAAGGTTAATGGCAGAATTTATTTCAATGTTCCATTTTCTACCTTTAAACTTAAAAAAGAAATCTTTTATAATACAAACAATTCAAATTATCATTATTGAATGTTGACAAGTATAACACATCTATGTGTTGTGGGTCTGTGCTTAATTAAATTATGTTTATACACATACATAAACACTGCGAAATAATATATACATTATAGAAGTAAACATATGACATGTATTTCCATGAAAATAGAAAGTTCTGATTGCTCTACTACATCAAATATTTGTTGGTAGATAAATAGTTTATTCTGGCACTTGTAAACAAGGCATGTCAGGGCTTTAATCACATGATTCCCAAATGAGTACAACTACTGTGAAACCCAAACTCATTGCGAACCAGAAGATAAAACAAGGTGTTACCCATTAAACATAGATATATGCACTGATTATGATTTCAGAGGAAAATTTGATATTTAAAGTATGCAATTACCTTCCAAAAATAACATTTCAAACTTTAAATGATGACCCTTGATTTATCAAATATAACATATTCAAGAAAAGCCAAGTTTATGATGTCAAGCACCTGTAATTTATACTGAAGTAGCTACATCTAATTCTTCCAAAAACAACATTTTTACATGCTCTAAATGATAAATCAACATATCAATGTTATAATGGTAACAAGGTTAAACTTTATTGTCAGAGGGATAGACAAACAGAGAGACCATAAAATCATGATGCTCCCTACTACTGCATTCAGGGCATTTAAAACATTATAATATAGTTATTTAACCACAATAAATGAACATTGAAGAAGGCCAAATAAAATTATCAAACTTGTTTGTTGCAAAAATGAAAATTTATAAAGCAACAAAATTGATTCACACTTCACTACTGGAATAATTTTTTGTTTCTATTTTTGGATTAATAACAATTAAATTGAATTCCTTTAGAGGCAAGAAAAGGTATAACAGACTGCCTTGACATTAAATTATTTAAATAATACACCTAATTAAAAATGTTATAGAAGACAGAGCAGAGAATTTTTAAAAATGTCAGAAGACAGAACAGGGAACTGCCGAATAAACTATTACCAATATAAGTCTTTGCTGCACAATAAACACTGCTTCACATGAAGTAAATTAACCAAAGATATGTCATTAATTTAATAAAGCTAAGCAGATACACACACATATGTTCTTATATAATAGAACATCATATTCACAAACTTTTTTAGAAGGCAAAATACATGCATTTTACTGTAATAGTTTAAATGCAATACAAATCTGTATCTTTTAGGTTAAGTTAAAAAATAGAAACTGAAGAGATCAAGATTTCAAAATTCTAATGCCTGTCTCATTATGTTTTAGATACAAAATTGTTAAAACTTTATAAATTGAATATGTTTCCCACTTCAATTACCTAATATGTTGAAATGGAAGAGACTAATTTTTCAATTCATTGTTTGATGAAAATCACTAAGTGCAATAGTAAATTAGATAATGTGTTTAACAGACAATAGTAGAATAATTTGGTAGACAAATGAAAGTGTGTCATGCGAAATATTATATTTATCCTGCTTTTGACATAAATCTCAAAATTTTATTTGATGAAAGCAACAACATATCGGCCATATTATGTTGCCTACAATATCTTTCTAAAGAAAAAATGCTACATTTTGTCAAAATTACACCATTGTTTCAAATGTATATAAAAATAAGAAGATGTGGTATGATTGCCAATGAGACAATTATCCACCAGAGACCAAATGATGTAGAAGTTAACAACTATAGGTCACTGTGCAGCCTTCAACAATGAGCAATATCAATCACTTCAGGAAGAGTTTACATGTTATTAAAATGTTATCAAAAATATAAAAATTTGTGAGCTAATTATTCCATTACAAGAAAAGAAACTGTCCAAATATCATATTTCATTCTCAATAGCATATTACATGTAACTCAAAATTTACTGAAAATAAACTTCATAATTAGGTAGATTATCAGTTTATCTATTTCACTGACCCCATTAATTTAACATCATTACTAGAATGAACTCATTTAGCCTTAGATGTATGATTTATTTTATTAGTTGTTAGTGGCTTTGAACTAGCTGTCAGTAACTGCAATTACTCTCAGATCTGTATTTAGTGTCTTTTTGTTGTTTGGATGTACAAGTACCTGGCCACGTCCACTTGTATTTGTAGTATTTGTAATTTTTATCCATCTGATGAGTTAAGCCTCTTTCAACTGATTTTTATAGTTCGTTCTAATGTTGTACTGTTACACCACTGTCCCAGGTTAGGGGGAGGGTTGGGATCCCGCTAACATGTTTAACCCCACCACATTCTGTATGTATGTGCCTGTCCCAAGTCAGGAACCTGTAATTCAGTGGTTGTCGTTTGTTTATGTGTTACATATTTGTTTTTCATTCATTTTTTGTACATAAATTAGGCCGTTAGTTTTCTCGTTTGAATTGTTTTACATTGCCATTTTGGGGCCTTTTATAGCTGACTGTGCGGTATGGGCTTTGCTCATTGTTGAAGGCTGTACGGTGACCTATAGATGTTAATTTCTGTGTCATTTGGTCTCTTGTGGAGAGTTGTCTCATTGGCAATCATACCACATCTTCTTTTTTAGATCAAACAATAAAGTTCTCCATACATAATATTTGGGTTTTTTTAACTTCACATTTAAGACCACCTCAATGAATTTCTTCTTCATTTATCAAGACAGGGTTGGCAAAGTATTACCCGGGGCGGGAAAAACCGGTGGGAAAACCCGGGTTTTCCAGGGCTGGGCAATACTCCTAGAAACGGGTAATACTGGGCAATACTTGGTAATATGATTTTTCAAACTTATTTTTACACAAAATAGTAAAGACTTCTTGTAGTTTAATAGCATTATAGCTAAATATATACATGTTATACAGATAACCATTGAGAGTCATTCCTGAAGATTGAAAATTCAATTTCTTCCTTTTCTCCACTAATTCTATGTAGGCAGAAAACAAGTTTTGTACATATCAGGATACCTTGTTAATTTGAAAGCTTTGTTTCAATATTAAATCCAAGTTGAAAAATGCATTTTATTGCAGTGTTTAAGTGAATTGTAAATTTTAATTGTTATACAATCATATTGCTAAATAAACACCCTAAGGGGACAGGCCATGAACACTTATAGAAATCAAAAGGCTGATTATTGTAAAATAAACAAATCTGTATTATTATCTGAATAATTACTTATTAATTAGTGATGTACATAAACATATGCTCAAACTTAGTAAACATTTTTAGTTTTGAACAAAAAATGTTTAAAAGTAATTTTCCTTACATAGATTTGTCAATTCTTAATATTAGTTATATTTATTTAAAAAAAAATGAATTCTTCGACTTTAGTGTATTGCATTTGTGATTAATCACTGAATCCTCTTTAAAATTCAGGCCAGTATTTCATATTACCCAGTATTGTCCAGTATTACCCGGTAAAACCCAGTAAAACCTTGGGTTTTCCCAGTATTTCCCACTGGGCTGGGCAATACTCATAAAACCCGGGTTTTTGCCAACCCTGTATCAAGACCTCATGCCATTTAAACCAATATGATAAAAAAGTTACATTGCAAACTCTGCATATTCACTTTGACTAACTTGTGTTTCTAGGTTGCTGCCTCCTTGGTGTTTACCCAAAGTTTGTTTTGATTCACATATATTATGGAGGTTATTAGCTTATCATTCATAAAGATGATTATCTCTGTATAACCGACTATAACGTAGTCATTGTTGTTGACCATTGGTAATTGAGTGTTGATGAAGTCATTGCAAACAGTTCAGGTTATATTTCAGAAACTTTTTCTGTTCTTTTTAAAAAATTTTTTATCAACAATGAACAAAGTTCCCTTACTTCTCTAAAATAAAAGCTGAATTATAAGCTGTTAATATCAAAATTACTTAAATCAGCTAACTCCATAATTCTATTACTGTGGATTAATCTATTTTTGGGGGGGTACCAATTTTCGTGGTTTGATAAAAATTTGCATTTTCTTGGATATTTGATTTTGTGGTTTTGCAGAAGTTTGAATACCAGCCTATAGAAAATTTATACTTCTTTGAAGATTTAAATTCGTGGTTTCCCTATAGCCAAGAAATCAAGGAAAATTGGTATCCCATGTATAATAATGAATGATCAATCTACAGTATTTTCCCTTCTATTATCATGAGCATCATAACATGTTTCAATATATATATACCTGTATAAAACTCTTGATAACACATCCATTGCATACAATTTGTAGATTTCAATTAATTATCAGTGGGGTCATGCCAAATTTCCCTAACAATAAGTATTATGTTAGGGAAATTATACAAACAAATTAATTTCAATAATACTGATTTATTCAGTGGTGTTTAATTACACCTTGTAGGAAATTAAATTTCAAAACTGAATCCAACTTGTGTTCTTGTCATTATCATAATATAAGTAACATATAATGAAGTGAATCATATGATACATCAATTCTGATATCAGCAGAATTGAACTTTTCCCACAGAGCCTTTAATTTGGGAATTAAGATTGCTATATTTTAGAGACAATATGATGAAGTTTAGAAGTCAACTTGTTTAGATATCCATTGATTCCATTGTTTCCTGTAACTTGTTAATTCTATGCAATCCAGATGATTTTATCTGTGGAAGATGATGAACACTGATTTTAACAATTTTCCTTTGAATATTTCTTTGAGATTCTCATACTCATCTCCCTTACTTTGTTTTTAACTGACAATTTACAAGTTTCTACAACATTCCATTCTTGGTTATAAAGACATTCGTTTCGTCTGTGAGACATTATAGTTACTATGTATACTAATCATGCCAAAATCAGAAATAAAAATATCTGATACTGCAACTGAAGACACATAAAAGCTAATAAATAAATTGCTTCGCTGAGCACAGCTGGATACGACCGCAGATGTCCAACCCTGAAAAGTTGGGGCCAAAATGGACACGCTTGATACAGGTCGGAATTTGGATTGTAATTAAATTTTTGACACATAATAGGTATAATAGGTTTCTGACACAGCATAACTGTAGTCAAAGAACTTCAAATTGGTTATATGATTTGAATTTATATTAAATTTTTTGCTTTTGTGCAATACACTATGCGAATAGACCTCCCCCCCCCCCCCCCCCCCCCCCCACCCCCCCCCCCCCCCCCCCAAAAAAAAAAAAAATTTTACCCCGTTTTTTGGCGTTTGTGCAATACACTATGCTGTTGAATATTAACCCCCCAAAAAAAAATATTTGAAGAAATTTTTTCTTAATTTCTGAAATATGAAATGAGAAAAATTGTCCCCCTCCAATTTTTTTCACCTCCCCCCTTTCCCTTATTCCAAAAATATTTCTTTCCCTCAAGTTATGGTCAGTATCTCAGACAATCATCATTTCTTAATACATAATTTACAAGCAGTGTAAGGGAGGTAATCAAACATTGTTATTTAAATTGATTTGGATTTTGATTTGGATTACCTCCCTTACACTGCTTTTAAATTGTCTCAATTGTCCTTAAACCAGAAAAACCTTTGTTTTTCCCCTTTTTTTGCCCCTAATTCCTAAATGGTTTGAGCCATAACCCCCATTGGTCAATTCTAACCATCCCTTTGTAGTATGGAAACTTGTGGAATAATTTCAGAGAGATTCATACACTTTAACACAAGTTATTGTCTGGAAACTACAAAAATGCTTATTTGGGCCCCTTTTTTGGCCCCTAATTCCTAAACAGTTGGGACCATAACCCTCAAAATCAATCCCAACCTTCCTTTAGTGATTATAAACCTTGTGTTAAAATTTTATTGATTTCTATTTACTTATACTAAAGTCATTATCCGGAAACCATCTGTCTTCGGACGACGCTGACGACGACGACTACGACAACATGATACCAATATATACGACCAAAAGATTTTTAATTTTTGCGGTCGTATAAAAACCCCTCCCCCTTTTTTTACAAAATACTCAACTCAAATATAAAATTTTGAATCATCACCAAAAAGTATACAGATCTTAAGATTAATATAACTAAGAAGTGTGTAAAGTTTTAAGCAATAATCATAAATTGTTTTTGAGATACGGCGTGACTTGTGAAAAAAAACACACACCTGTTTTAGTTACTAAGTCCCGTAACTCAAAAAGTTTTAATCTTATTTTCACCAAAAAGTATACAGATCGTTTGACCTTCATAAGAAACAACTATTTTAAGTTTCATGAAATTTGGATAAGTCGTTCTCAAGTTACGGTGCGACATGTTTAAGAACAGAAAAGAAGAAAACTTTAATCAGGATGCTATGTCTTGATTATAAAGAAGCTTCTGTCCAACTTTTGTAACATTCCATGAAGAATTGACAAAGATATTTAAGTTTTAAAATCTTTTAACACAGACTGTACCTAAATATTTAAGGTGAATGATAAGTCCATTATTTAGTTAAGTACAGCAAAGCGATGAACAAAATGTAAATTTTACTCTTGATAGTAACTTTTGATTTTTGAGATGCTTCTGTAAAAATTTCAAGAAATTCTATGAAGGTTTGAAAAAGGTTAGGGAGCTACCATCTGATTTTTATGGGGGGGGGGGGGGGGGGGGGGGGGGGGGGGGGGGGGAGGGCTAGGATGAAATTTGAAAAAAAAGGCAGGACAGGAGTTTTGAGTAAAAAAAAAGGCAGGATGAGCAACTTGGCCAAAAAAAAGTCAGGATGACAATTTATGTAAAAAAAGTCAGGATAAACTAATAAAAAAACAGGCAGGACCGAATAGAGTGAAAAATAAAAAGGCAGGACAGAGATTACAACAGGAAAAAAATGCAGGACAAAATTTTTCATCCTAGCCCTCCCATAAAAATCAAATGGTAGATCCCTTATTAAAGTTTTAAAAACTTAAAAAATAAAAAGTATCTGAATATTAACTGCGAAAATTTTTATCAGTAAAACACAGAAAAGTAAAAAAAAATGATTAAACTTCAGTTCTGTCCAAGTTATTTGATGTCTAAAAATCTTTAACTCCAGAATGTATCTGAATGGTAATTAAAAAATACTATTCCCATCTATCAGTAAAATACAGAAAAATAAAAAAATATGTTTTCAAAATCTTGTATCAGATGCTATCTCTTATTAATACAGAAGCTTCTGTTCCGATTTCATAAAATTCTATGAAGGTTTGACAATGTAACTGATTTCTACCGTAATCAGCCCTGTATAGTTCGCACTGTTACATTGACCGCATCCCCTTCTCGTCACGAGAATTCAGGTAAAATACTGTTTGTAACTGTTCGAAAATGTCCAATGAATCTCCGATAATTTCAAATTGAGTGTGATCATTTGCGGTATTTTCATGGAAAAACATGTTTTCCATCATCAAATAGAAGTTGAAATTCTTGTAAATGATTCTAGAACACTTCACGAGTGTTAAAATAAGTCAAAATCACAAAAAACAAGTAATTGAGTAACTTGTGTTTGTTTAAACAGCAACTTCGAATAGCATGTGTAAATGAAAATAAATACTTTGAGAGTGTTCAGAAAATCTGTACTTAATAAATATCACTAGAATACGACTTTGAAAGTAAAACAGTTCCATCCTCAAGTAAAATAATGTTTAACATATCTATTACCGGTACCTTAATGTGTGAAGGATCTTAAGCTAAAACAAACATGTGTTAGTACGAAACACCAAAACGGAACGAATAACTGATTATGTTTTGTAGTTTATACATCATTATGCATAAGCTGGTTCCTGGCTGACTTATTACACTTTTTCCTTTTGTTAAATTTGAATGGATTCCATTTTCTTTTATGCAATGCAGTGAAAAGAAACGAGAAATTTGTAATGAAGCATTTAATTTTGAAATTTATCAGTTTATATTTGATATGGAATAAAAAAAAGCATATTAATATGGATTAGGTAAATCATTAGTTTTGAAAATCATAAGATCACCCTCTACAATTTCAATAACAAACCTGGCGGAACTTAAAACAAACCTTGCGAAATCAAATTTTTCTCTTATTTCTTGCTTATCATACTCTATAATCTGCACCCCTTGTGGCAGATTCAATTTTGGAGAATAAAACCGCGGACTATACAAGCCTGAATTGGGTAATAAAACTTTAACCCCAGACTATATCTATACAATGTGCATATTCAAAAGGCTGTGTCCTTTCACAATACTAATTTTCTAAAATGTTTTTCCTTATTGAATAAAATTGAGAATGGAAATGGGGATTATGTCAAAGAGACAACAACCCGACCAAAGAGCAGACAACAGCTGAAGGCCACCAATGGGTCTTCAATGCAGCAAGAAAATCCTGCACCTGGAGGTGGTCCTCAGCTGGCCCCTAACTAAAATTGTGTGCTAGTTCAGTGAAAATGGACGTCACACTAAACTCCAAAACATATAAATGAACTAAAATTAAAAAACATACTAGACTAACAAAGTTTGGAAGTTTGGATTCATCTTTTCAAATTGATCAACTGATAAAATATTTTAGCTAATTGATAGTAAAAGGTTATTTTTTGGGTAGCAATAATTGTGCTTTATTCTATTTCTCTGTATGTGTATGTATAAAGTCAAGGTTTAGTATAATTTTGTCACTTTGCCACATTTATTGTTATATCATGTCCATGTAAATCATGAAAAGAAAATAATTAAAAAAAATTCACAAAGTTGAGCAATGGGAGCACATAGGTCTATGGTTCACTGTAGGAGGAGTTATCCGGAAACCCTATGCACCTCTTATGCAAGTATACACTCCAAAAATGACAAAGTTCAATTATCTCCCAAAAGAGCAAATATTAATAAAAATCAAAACCCTGACCACATGCACACCTTCAATATATGTACAAACAGCCAGCAAAGTGAAAACTTCCTAGCATTCAAACTGTAGGAGGAGTTATCCGGAAACGCTATGCACCTCTTATGCAAGTATATACTCCAAAAAATGACAAAGTTCAACTATCTCCCAAAAGAGCAAATATCTTGAATAACTATATACTGCTGATGGGACGGACGGACGGACAAGGGTTAAACAATAATTATATGCCCCCCCACTTTTAGTTGCGGGGGCATACAAAGCCTGCCTATTGTTGCCTCCGAAGACCTAAGAAGCATTCATGGTATAGCATGAAAACACACACTTGGATACCTAATTTCAAGAATGTCTCATTTGTATTTTCATGACAAATAAAATAAAAATTTCATAGGACAGACAAAAGGTTACACACAGACAGATGGAGTGAATACACATAGACAGATGGACTGAATACACATAGACAGATGGACTGAATACACATAGACAGATGGACTGAATACACATAGACAGATGGACTGAAGTAAAGCAGAATAGCCTCTCCTTTGGAACATGGGGTACAATAACAATGCCATGACTTATGGATAACTTACTTGTTCACAAGATTCTGTAGTTTTTGTACAGGCTCTGGTTCACCAGCTTTTCTAGGTAATACTTCCTTGCAGCCATCAACATTAATGTTATGAGCAGTATCCTGTGATACTTGGTAATGATGTTCATTGTCCTCTGGTTGGCCAGCTTTTCTTCATAATTCTTCATTTCAGTCATCAACTTCAAAATTTACAGCAGCTTCTTGTGATACTTGGTAAAGATGGTCATTCTGCTCTGGTTGCTGTTTGGTGTTCTGGAAAAAAAACCAACGCTTATGCTACAACATCACAGTAAGAAATGATTGTTCAATGACATCATTTACACTGATTGACCTTGGGTCAACTCGAGAAACCCATTCATAAAAAACAACTTAAGATTAATCTATATATCTTATTACTATTAGGATTTTTTGACACTTGATTTGAGATTTTGTGATATTTGACTTTTTGACTTCATATAACACTCCCTTTTGCACTGTGGTGTCATACTTTTTCTCTTGTGATGTCAAAATTTACATCAATGTCTGTGATATTCAGTAAAGGCTGTAATAAACTAGATGCTCTAAAGAGCCTGTGTCGCTTACCTGGATCTATGCACATTTCCAACATTGGAGACTTAGATATAATTAAAAAATCTCATTTCGTTGATCTTGTATTGCTGACCATTTTTACTTCTTTTGGTTAAACAGCAACAATGAAAATAAAAAGGTAGAAAAGATCACTGCAACTAGCATACAAATATAGATAGTTAAGTGGCTGCTTAATAGCCAGTAGCAAATATTACATGCATATTGAGTACGATAACATATTTTGTAAATAAGATTTGAATTATTCATGCTTGGTATTATACCCAGATACAGTTAATTAAGAAATAACTTATAGGGGCTTGAATTTATATTGATTTTACCATGGGTTGGCCTTTTATTTCAAATATTTTACCATGAGTGATAGTGATCAGATCAAAGCTCTCTGGACCAAGACAAATATTTGCAGTTCCCATAATTGAACACACTACAAATATTGTTTGTAAAAAGCATAGAAAACTGAATAAGTGACATACTTAAATGATTTTCAATTACAGGAACTAAACATATTTAATCAAACAGATTTTTACTGAAGAAATCATGCTGTCAACAAATTTGTATCATAAAGTCTGTTTATATGTTTCCATGTTTAGTTATAAATGCCTATAACATCGCAGTAAATTGAAACAGACAAAAGAACACATGATGTGCTGATCAGCTGACATACAATATATACTAATTTTATGGACCCAAACCGTTTGAAGGACTTCACATTATGTTACACATCTAATCTTCTATGTGGTGCTTTAAGTTTGTCGAATTCCTTCTCATTAACTGTCCATACTCCTTCATTCTTTTCATTTGTTACTCGGAAAAAAAACATTTATTAAAACTAAGAACTTGTCTGGCATTGTTCTACAAGCAAAAATAACAAAAAATGTAATATCTTTTAGGAAAACCAGCTTTTAATTAATTGATTAGTGCTTAAACACCACTTTCAGCACTATTGGCTATTTTGTGGTGGTCAATTTTTATTGGTGGGGGAAGCTGGAGTGCCAAGAGAGAACTACAGACCTTCGTCAGAAACACTGAAAACCCTAGTCAATTAAGGTTGGAGTCAAATGCACCTGCCAGGTGCAGTGTTCGAACTCACCACCTCACTTTTTCATTAAGAGTTAAATAATAAATACACTAGTTGCCATAAGACACTTGTATCAGATACTTCGGGTGCCACATGTGGAGCATGATCTGCTTACCCTTTCGGAGCACCTGAGATCATCTCCAGTTTTTGGTGGGGTTCGTGTTGCTGTTGTACCCCTGTTTGTGCCATTTTTACCTATTGTGTCTGTTTGTTTTGTTCACACATCGTTGTCAATATATTGGAATTTGATGCGACTGTCATACAAGTGAGAGGTTTAGCCAGCTTTAAAACCAGGTTTAATCCACCATTTTCTACATAAGAAAATGCCTGTACCAAGTCAGGAATATGACAGTTGTTATCCATTCGTTTGATGTGTTTGAACTTTTGATTTTGCCATTTGATTTGGGACTTTCCTTTTTGAATTTTCCTCGGAGTTCAGTATTTTTGTGATTTTACTTTTTGTATTCTAACATGGCCGTCAGTTTTGATGTCAAAAGTAAGAAAAATAAACTGAGAGTGATCACAACATTCTTATTAAACCTCTTTAAAAAGATGAGACACAAAAAGTGATGTGTGAGTGTGTGTGAATGTAAATTTCCTAATATTCTTTAAATGTTGATCAAACACGTTAAACTATAAACATATTTATTCTTTTAATAAATCAGTTATGAAAAACCTTACTGAATATTTGTTGATTTATTCATATGTTGCTAACCTTTATGTCATTTGGTCTCAGGAGAAAATTGTCTCAATGGCAATACCACATCTTCTTATCTTTATATAAAACAATTTGAAATAAAAAAAATCTCTATTTTCAAATCTAAAAAATATCATCATTTGAATTTCAAATTTAATAGAGAATGACTATTTATATTTAGATCGATAGAATCTCAATTTCCAAATTTAATAGTCTAAAACAACTGCCAATTATTAAACTAAAACAACTGCCAATTATTAAACTGATAGGATCCTGATTTCAAAATTTAAATGAGAATCAATATCTATACTACCGGTAAATATAATTAAATTGATAGAATCTTGATTTCCAATCTAACAGAGAACTGGTATTGATAATAAGACAGATAGAAAGAGAGCCTTATGACATACTAACCTTCATTGTGGTTATATCATCAATCTGTTTATAAGAATATGCATTGTGTAACCATCGATAGATTTCACTTAATGTTAAGTTATGGTTAGGAGATTCTACAATAGCCTGAAACAGAAAAATTGTTTGTTACCTCCCTTTAATAAATTTCAATATTTTTTATGCTTTAGACACACGTAATTGATTTTGGATAATATTTGTCAAATATTCCAATCTCATTGTTTTTTATGAATGAGCAACACTGGTTGACCCCAGGTCAATCGGCTTAAACAACATCATTGAACATTCAGTTCTTACTGTAACGTAATAACATAAGCATTGAGACAAATTTACATGAAAGTGCACGTGAACTTTACATAAAAGAAATTGGTATTTTTCATTTTTTTAATTTAATTTGAAAATTTAGATGTTATTTGAATTACTTTATTTTAAAAATTAACGTGAATTTCATGTGAAAAAAATTCATGTGATTTTCACGTGTGTTTCACATGAGTTTCAAGTATAAGCTCGTTTGAGGTGAAATTCACGTGAATTTCACGTGAGATTCACATGAATTTAAATTCAAGTCAAATTGATGTGAGTGAAATTTGCCTGTGTATAAATTTCTAGTCTGTGACATTGAATATTTTAATTTACATCAACAGTAAACAGTGGAGCTCACAAACACAGCATTCATTTATTTAGGCAAAATTCTATCCCAAGAAATTAAATGTGTCTAAAGAATCTCAAAATTGTGAAAAAGTCATTGTACAGATTTTGTTATAAGTTTCTCTTCATTAATATAGTGTTATCAGATGAACCAGACTTCAGTAATGGGTAACTTATCCAGAAAATTAAGACACCAAATTATCATTTACCCTTTCAGCAAAATCATACTTAGGGCTATTCCATTAAAATGTATGTGGGAGGGTAGGAAGGGAAGTTTAATTATTGAATGTGGGTCATGGGTCTTTTTTCAGTATGCGTCTATAACCATTATGCAAAATTATCTAAAAAAAATGGTTCTTGGTTGTAGTGATATTTTGAAAGTCCCTTCCTACCCTCCCACATACATTTTAATGGAATAGCCCTTAGAAGGCTGAAAGTGATAATTGCGGTTTAGCAATTCAGTTTAAATTAACTGTCAAAAAGTAGCTTCAATTCTGAAACAGATTTTTAAGATGTTAAATATTATCATTATTTTTAGGGGTTTTTTTTCAAGACTTTTTGATTGGTGGCAGATCTTGATAGTTTCTGCTTAATCTATATACAACTTTTATAGATTACAGAAGATTTGGAGCATGACATTTTATATGAACAATTGTGAATTGTTGAACACAGTATGTTGAAGTTTTTATGTTATTTTTGTCGCTGGGTTGATGTCTCACTGACATATACTTCACACACCTTATATTCACTTTATTCAAACAGAAATCCAAAATTAAAATTTTTACAGAAAGGAGTTTAATGCTAACTTCTCATCAAATTATAATAAATCTCTTAATACACAACAGAAGGAGATGATTTCTTGCTTATCTGTATCTTGATGTAAAATTGAGAAATGTTATTTTGCAGTTATCAGATTTTTTGTGACAGGTGATTTGCACTTTTATTTCAAAGTAAACCTTCTGTTGTAAAATTTCTAACAGCTATAACAGTAATCTGTAGATTTTGTTTGCTGTAACTAGTGGGGCAGAAACAAATGACCTTTCTAAAACACCTAGACTTGCTACAATTCCCTTTCTTTAATTTCTTTCTTACTAATTTATATGTTTACTCAAAACTGACAGAGAACTCCTCTGCAGATGTCAGTATAATGGAAATCTCTTAGTTATAGCAGTAAAATTGTTACAGGGGCAAAATTGAAAAAAATAAATTAGGAAGGGACATGAACAAGTCTATAGAACATCAGGAATCACTTCTGTTTTTTCCAGGGTTGTATTGCTTAATCTTTAGTTTTCAATGATGTGTTGAGTGGATTGATGTTTGTCTTTTTATCATTTTTCTTTCAGCAATAATATTGTCTGTTTTTGTTCATTTTTAATTGCCCTTTTCATATTTACTGCCCCTTTTGTAAATAGTACCTTGAAAAACCATCAATATTATTGTAAACAATGACTGTAATTTTATTTTTATTTGTGTTCAGTGTTCATCGGCAATATTACCTGTGGTATCTATTAATTGATTGTTGGTGCTTAACCTCACTTTCAGCACTTTTGGCTATTTCATGGTGGTCAGTTTTTATTGGTGGAGGAAGCGGGAGTGCCCAGAGAGAACCAGTGACCTTTTGCAAATAAACTGACAATCCTAGTCAATTAAGATTAGAGTCAAATGCACCTGCCATGTGCGGGGTTCCAACTCACAACCTCAGTCTTGACAGGCTAGTGATACAGTAGTTGGACTACTTACCTGTCGTATCAAAGAGGCATATGTAAATGGCCGAGGGGGTCTCCTTATGTAAACTTTTCTTGGTTTCATTACTGAAAAAAGAAAAAAATTGTTGATATCAAAACTTACAGGTGTTTATGTATAATGTAATGCTTTTCAAATTTATGTTGTATAAAAATTCATTAAGTTTGGGTAATTTCTTTTCTTATCATTGCCTCTTATAAACTCTTATAAAATTGAGAATGGAAATTGGGAATGTGTCAAAGAGACAACAACCTGACCAAAGAGCAGAAAACAGCCCAAGGCCACCAATGGGTCTTCAACAAAGCGAGAAAATACCGCACACAGAGGCGGGCTTCAGCTGGCCCCTAAACAAAAACGTATTCCTATCAAGTCATTAAAACTTGATGTCTTTCATCCTGCAGATTCTTATATTTTGGCATTGCATTGCATAAGATCAGGGGCGTAGCTAGGTATCCAATGGACTGTAGGCCCAAATTGCGGCAGGGGGTCTGGCCCCAACCAGGTCCAGGGCAGAGCCCTGGTAGGGGGTTCAGGGGGGCGAAGCCCCCCGACTGTAAACAGGTTTCAGCATTTCAGTTGCCAGATTTTATGACAAAAAAACATGAAAACTGGTCATTTTATCATGATAATATACATGAAAAAAATTTCGAAGAAATTATAATAAACATAATTTTTACAATTATATCTGACTGATGAATTAGCCGGCAGTACAATCGGAAATACATTAAGAACAAATATTTACAATATGCATTGCCCAGTGTGGATCAGCGTAGCCCTTTATTAAGCAGCACAAGCCTGTTTAGTATTTTCATATCTATTCCTTTATGATTGAGGATAATTTGAATATATACGTCAATTGATAGTACATATTGATGATCCTACATTTAAAAGAAACATTCACCGTCCCCTGGCTACACAAACAGTCGATGCCTCATGCAGAAGTTCTGTTCTGTTCATACTATCGAAATAAATTCAAGAAATTCATATTTCCTTATATCTTGTACTATAAAATCCCTACCTGCTTAGCAATTTGAATAATTATGGTCATTACACGTAGATCTGAGAGTACTCGAAGTTACTGAAAGCTAGTTGATTGATTGATTGATTGCTAAACGTCCAGTTGCAAATAGTCCATGCATGTTCAGGACAAAAACAAATTTACAATAAATACAACAGGTAGCTAGGTCCTGTAATAGGGGTCGTCCAGGACGAAGGTCTGGAAAATTGGAATTGCCATGCATTGGAAAATGAGGGTTTATTGGATAGGAACAGAAATTTTGCCTTTTAGTAGACCACCTACGAACCCCTCAAAGAGTTGTTGCAAGTTTCTTAACGTGCAGAGACCGTGGCATTCTCTCTACACTAGGTATCGGATTTAACGTCCCCATTCTGACCAGACGTGACTGCGTATTTATACATTCTGCACAGCCAAATGAACGCTCAACTTTGGCAAGGGTTTTATTATAGGTCGGATGAAGACCAAGTGGAAAGCTAGTTGAAAGCCAACAACAACTAATTAAAAAAATCATATGTCTAAGTTGAGGTTCATTCAAGTATTTGTTGATAGAAGTGAAATGATCTGAACCAAAGTTCTAGTTTATAGTTTCTATATAAGGGGGAATATAATGACATACAATTCTATCCAATACTCCATTCACTAAGGATGATAGACTAGTGCACACATGACATTCGATAAGTAAAGAGTTTTGACGAATTCACTAGCGTGCATCTACAGATAACGTTGTTTATTATTTTTTTTTATAAAAAAAAAAAATTGTGAAAAAATTATGTGTAGGCACGTGCCTAAAGTGCCTAACGACAGCTACGCCCCTGAAGATCATGTTTTTCTCAGACTGCTTATGACATCTTTTAACTGAATTGGTGAGGAGGATTCCACACTTGCAAACATGTTTACCCAAGCAACATTCTGTATGTGCCTGTCCCAATCCAGGAGCCTGTTGTCATAAGTTGCCATCTGTCATAATTGTTTCATTCAGGCTGTTAGATTATTTCTCATTTCTAATTGACTTCATAATGGTTTATCAGAAGATTTTTTTAATTTTGATTAAGGGGACGACCATTTGATATTCTGGGGGGGGGGCCAGGAGGATTTTGAAAATAAATAACTCAGCCTTGATAATCACAAAAATAAATGGTTTGTTCTGTGGTAGTTTGAAAATAAATTACCTGACTTGCAATGTATTGAAAATAAATAACTCAGCAGGTCTAATCGAAAGTATGAGATGGCACCAGATTCTTCATAAATTCATCTTTTTTCCAAAAAAAAATCGGGAAACACTTCCCATATCTTTTAATAATAAAAGTATAAATATTATTTAAATATACTTGAAATGTCAGAAAATTGGTTTCATTTAACTTGAGGTTAATTGTCTCAGGAACACTTACCTCACTTTTATTAAATCAGGGCCGTAACTACATTGAGACAAATGCCTCATGTAGGAAATTTCAAAACCAAACGCTTGTCTCCATATCAAATTGAGTTCACCGTGAGTGCCTTGCAAGAAGCAAGTTCTGTAGCCCCTGATTTTTCAGGATCAATGTTTCTTATTTATTTATCTTTTGTTCATTGCCCTTCTGTACTCTGTTAGTGTTGCATTCATTTTGTAATTTAGTAATTTGCTTTATCATGCATATTTGTCTTTTGATGTTGTTTCTAGAAACTTAAGTCTTACACTGAATCTATAACGTGATTTTGCTTTGATACCAAAATATTGTCATAAAATTATTAAAACAGAACTTGCATTTTCAGTTTAAGAAAGGGTCTGGGGAACACCCAGAAGGCATGATTTTGCATCATTTGTTCTATAGCTTCTTGGGCCTTCAGCTGTTCAAAAACCCTTCAAAAAAAATTTTGCCTCACTCCGCTCGGCGAAACATGTTTGCCAATACTTTTAAAAGAGCCTTAGTTACAACCAAACTTTAATACTGTGTATGTACATATATGCATTGGGGAATATAGAAGATTCATTTCTGCAGAGGATAATAATTAATTCTGATTAAATGGTACATAATGACTTGACTATACATGAATTATTTATAATAAACAAATAATTTAAAAATTGTATGTTTTCGAATATTATAAATATAGTTGTGAAAATAAATAATCAGTCCCTTGCTTTAATGAAAATGAAAATTCTTGCTTCAATAGTGCAGAAAATAGATAATCTGTCCTCTTAGTTTACAAAAATAAATAACCGATCCAAAAACAAATCCTCCTGGCCCACCCCAGAATATCAAATGGTCGTCCCCTAAGATCTATATTTTCACTATTTTTCTAGTCTTGAAATTAAGGGATGACCATATTTCAATACCATATTTACCCCAGTCAATACTTGGGATTAAGTAACATAGGTAATAAAAGGACTCCAAAATATAAATGGGTAATTATAGTATATAACATGATACTACTGTTATGTGTTACAGTACCTTGTGTTTATTTACCAGATGCATACCTGCCAACTTTCATGATTTTGGCATGAACTACACAACTTTGACCCCTTGTCAGGATTGCACGATCGTGATTGTGAAAAAAGTCCTTTAACAAAATTTTGTAAAAACCTACAGGAAAAATTTGTTCATTCCCGGTTTTTAACTTTTCCCAAGGGAGACAATTAAGATCAGCAACAAATAGCAAATCACATTTGGATTTTTTCTGTGATTACGTTTTCATCTCCTGATTAATTGGTGTATTTTAAAAAACCACAGAATGAAACTTGTTTGGAAGTTTTGAGTTGTATTCCTTTGTCTGTTTGTCAAAATTGTCAAAATTATGATAATGGTTGTTGAATTATAATTTGCAAGAAAGTTCTTAAGTCGCCTACATAGTAAAGCGTTGATCAATTGAGAGGCTGGTTGACAAATTTTACAATAGGGATAACACATGCCTTGTAAAGCAGGCAAGGACTGTTCAACTTCATCAGAAGTTCTTCACAGCTCAGAACACTACCAAGTCTGTCGGTAACTTCTTTGTACAACCAGATAATGAGCAACTCAAGACGGTCAAGCAAGCATATTCAGTAACACAAAAGAACTATTCATAAGACGTTTTCATATCTTTGAGTTAATTAAATCAGACTATTGAAATATGAACCAAGTTTAATACAAGTCAATGAAGTGTGTTTTCTTTGATAAAATTTGAGCTGAAGAGAGCAGTGCTACCATAAACATAATAAATAGTAGCTTATTTGGACATTACACTTATTGTAACTGGTCCATACATAGTCATAATTATTGTTATCAAATTTTCAAATTATTAAAAATCTTGTCCTTTATTTTTCACGAGGAAATTCAGATAAATTTCCTTTGTCCATATTTATATATGGAAAAGTCAGTTATAACTAGACAAGAAAAGATTTTGCTGGTAATTAATCTAACTTAATGTACTATCTTTTCTACACATTAGGATGAGTACAAGAATCATCATCAGTATACCATATGAAAAAAGAAGAAAAGGGCTTATTAGCTCATCATCAGTATACCATATGAAAAAAGAAAAGGGCTTATTAGCTCATCATCAGTATACCATATGAAAAAAGAAGAAAAATTACACATTTCTAGAGTAAAACACAGACATACAAAAACGACACAAAAATTGTAACCCTTAAAAATGTTGTTGCACACAAAAACCCCCATGGCGATTTTCAAAAGTTGGCTGTTATGCAGATGACATTGACACTGTACCTGCAATATATGTTCCTCATCGACTGAAGAGTAGAGTTCTAGCGTCTGTTGTACTTCTTCTTCCTTTCCAGGCGATTCCATTAACTTACAAAAAGAAAAACACAACAAATATAAATATTGAGCTCACAATGCTGGAAATACAGAGTGTAATAGCTTTATATGTAACATAGCTGTTCCATAGGATGCTTATGATAGCTAACTTGAAATTAATGTCAAAACATCTTTTGTATGACCTAATGATAATTTGTGCATATCTGCAGAGTCTCCAAAAATCATCTTAAATCCTAATTTAAATTATAGTTTTCATTTTTGGTATGTTTTGAATCAAATTATTTTACTTTCAGAAAACACATAACCCGAATAATTCAGTCCCTCCCCGTAATCGATCTCTCCTACTTGCGAGGGCCTGAATTCCTTACACGATAAAAACTCTTCACGAATCCTGAATTTTGATTGGTGCCCTGTAGAAAAGGTGACCAATCAGCAATTAGCTCAATTTTATCGAGATAGGTAAGTCCCAAGCTAATTCCGAATGATTGATTGAAGATTTTTCATTGTCAATGCATTCAGGCGTTAATGGAGTAATCGTAGATCAGCAGAATATAACGACTGAATTATTCGGGTTAGAAAACAAACTATAGTTCCATTTTAAGATATTTAGTATGTCCTCGATGATAAAAATTATATGATTTGAGAAACACAAGTCAAGCATGAATGACCTTCAAAGTGTAACATGATTACCCCTGATTCCTTGTTTTTGTGATCTAGATACTGAAAAAGTCATGTGCGTATCAATTCTAAGCACATTCCCTGCAAGTTTCTTATCATATTATCTAGGTGATGATGAGTTATCCAGGTCATGTGACCTGTCATGCGATATAGATGATGAGTTATTCAGCTCATGTGATCTAGATGATGAGTGATCCAGGTCATGAGATCTATCATGTGATCTAGACGATAAGTCTTCCAGAACATGAGAACTGTCATGTGATTGAGCTGATGAGTCATTAATGTGAATGCTGTCTAAACACACTTACCACTGATTTCTTGTCATTTAATCTTGACGATGATGAGTCATCCAGTTCATGTGATCTGTCATGTGATCGAGCTGATGACTTATTCATGTGATCATCAAGTCTAAACATTGTAACTTACCTCTGATGTATTGTCATTTGATCTAGATAACTCCAAGTTATCCAAGTCAAGTGATCTGGATGGTGATGAGTTTTCCAAATCATGTGATCTGTCATGTGATTTAGACAATAAGTTGTCCATGTGAGTATCCAGTCTTGAAACGTTCCCTTCTGGTTTCTTGTCATATAATCTGGACGATGCTGAGTTGTCAAGGTCACATGATCGAGATATTGAGTTTTCCACATTTACCATTAGTTTTTTGTCATGTGATCTAGAGGATGTACTATTCTTTTGAGTATCAATGCTGTTGTCATCACAGTTTGAATTTGAACTTACAAATTGATCTGAAACAGAATTCTGTAGAAATACAAAATTGTCATAAAAATATGCCAACATTTGCCATAAATTGTAATTGTAGAAAATATGCCTGCTAAAGTCCTGACTTGGTACAGGCATCTTAAATTAAAAAAAACATGTGTGTTGAACTGTGTTTTATGATCAGCAAAAACTTCAATTTGTAAGACCAATCTGTTTGTCCCAATCTACCGATGCATCTTAGGCGAAAGCAAAAACATAAAAACATATGCCATGTTGATACAATTTTACAACTGAACACAAGGATTATTGTTGCCAAGAGAAGTTTAAATTGGTTTCAGCCATTTTTTAAAGGCTAAACACTCCATAAGATCCAGAGGGATAGACCTCAATAGATCAAATTTGAGATTCTTAATGATATATCAAACTCATGATCTCAAACCTGTTGTACCTTGTTCGTCATCACTGTCTACTGAAAACACTTCCTCACATTCCAAGTGAAGTGGAACACTTTCATCTTGAGTCTCTTGACCCGCTGTTATATATTCTTCTGACATGGATTTATTTTCACTTTGCTAATTGTCACAGGACAGTTCTGGTGGTTCATTGCTGCAAGATACAAGTAATGAAAAATTTATTTTTAATAATATAATGTAAAAAAAAAAGGATTACAATGTAAAAAAAACTATTTAACTCAAAAAAAATTATTACAATGTAAAACTATTATTGTAACAATGTAAACATAAAATAAAACTTTTTACAATGTAAAACTATTACAAAGTAAAACTATTGCAACTAAAACTATTACAATGTAAAACTTATAATTACAATGTAAAACTATTACAAAGTAAAACTATTGCATGTAAAACTATTACAATGTAAAACTATACAAAGTAAAACTATTACAATGTAAAAAATAACTATTGAAATGTAAAAAAACTAAAACAATGTAATAAAAACAACTAATGAAACAAAACCTTATGAACTTCGCTCATCAAATCATTTGAAATTATATAAATGAGTGAAAAGTTGTACATCATTGATCATTAATAAAAGGAGAATGCATCTACCTCAATGAGACAACTATCCAATGACATAAAAAATATGCATCAAAAACAAAAATGGCCAGTTTGCAAATAATATTTTTTAAACAATGGATAATTTTTTGATAAAAAGTTGTGTACATCCTTGTCCTTATGTGATATATTGTTGCCTCATAGGCAATTATACCACATCTCCACATTTTCATATTTAAATAATAAACGGAAATATAAAAATTATATAATAAACTGTTAACACAGATATATGTCTCGCCTATTTGTTATTTTGAAAATGCAAATGTTGAAATTAAAATAGCAATACATTTTTTTTTTTAAACAACATAATAATTTTATTCATCAAATATTGCTTGTTACATAAATCATCAAGATTCCAAGCTTCTCTTGACGTACCCTGTTATGATCCACTGACTACCCAGGGAATAGTCAGCTGATTAGATTAATTGACATACATTTTTTTTACAAAACATTATAATAACAATACTAGAAATATTATTCATTGATTATGTTCCTTTTAATTGTTAGTAACATTGGACTTATTGTCTTATGTCCATTAATATTGGTGTCTACTCTCTTAGTGTATTCATTGACAAAAATTCTGTAGACGTCTATGTTTTTTTGTTTTCTGCTCAGATACATAGTATGACTTATATATTGAAAAACTAAGTATTGTAATTAAAAAAATTATTGAGTAATATTTGTTGTCTGTGATTTTGTATCCAAATATCAGGTGTTCTAGTTTTATTAAAAAATCTATATCACTCCTTTTTAAGAGGTCGTAAGTTTGCTGCCAAAATCTTGTCAAATAAGAACAATTGAAAAAACAGTGATCATAGTCTTCTTCTATGTTACAAAAATTACACATATTATTATTAGTTATTTTCCATTGTAATAAAAGCTTTTTTGTTGGTACAATAAACTGTAGTAATTTCCATCTGAATATTTTTAATTTATTTTCAGTTAAATATTTAAAAATAAAGTTATATAGTGAATTCATATTTGGAGCTTCTTGCATTGGTAGAATTTTAAGCCACCTGTTTATCCCTACTGACGGTTCTTTTTTACTATTCACTAGCGAATCATATAACATTTTATTTGAAAAACATGTAGTCTCAAAATAACGATATTTCCATGTGATCTTATTTCTCTTGACATTTACTGTACTTTGAACAGAATTTTCTTGTTAAACTATGTGAATCCAATTTTGTGGAAAAGCTTGTTTCAATATATGAAATTCTGCAATCCAGTTTACCTTACACTTTATTGTTTAAAATATATTTTTCTGATAATGACATAGTGTCATCTAGAATATCATTTAAGTATATTATACCACTCTTAATCCAGTTTTCAAAGATAATTGGTTTATTATGAAATGTAAAATAGCAATACTTTAACATGTAAGTTATGCAAATATTCAAAGTCAATGAACCATGACTGAAGGTACAGGGCTAAACAATCTCCATGGAAATGAGATGTGCCAATGCTAATACAACTGCAAACCAAATACCATTGACTTTTCATAAGTCGTTCCCTTTAAACAAACCTAAACACAAACATTAACTTGTAAACTATGTAAAAGTTTCAAAGTCAATGAACCATAATTAGGGGGTGGGGTTATATAATCTCCATGGAAATGAAACTTGCAAATGCCAATACATTTGCATACCGAATATCATTCACTTAGCATTAGTGGTTCATCTTGAACTGACCTAATCACAAACCAATACATGTAAACTAAGCAAAAGTTTCAAAGTCAATAGACCATGACTGAGGGGTAAGGATAAAATATTCTCCATGGAAATGAGATGTGCTATTGCTTATACAACTGCATACCAATTATCATTGACCTACCACTAACACAAAATAATACATGTAAACTAAGCAAAGTTTAAAAGTCAATAGACCTTGACTGAGGGGGCGGGGCCAAATAATCTCCATGTTACGTAATGAGATGTGCCAATGCTAATACAACTGCATACCAAATATCATTGACCTACCACTAGTGGTTCACCATGAACTAGACCTCATCACAAAAAATACATTGTTGACGCTGCCGACGCCGGAAACAGCATACCTATGTCTCGCTTTTTGACTCCGTCAAAGCGAGACAAAAATGAAACACTATATGTTGATATAAAAAACACTACTGTAAATTCAGAAATTATTGCAATGTTTATATCAATGCAAAAAATGCTACAATTTCTGGTTCGCAATAATAAAAACTAGCATTCATAATTTCAGTAATGATGTTCCATCATTAAATTTTGGCAATCACATTAATTGGATATCATATCTTATCCAGAGGTCAAGGATTTTTTTTTATAATTCTTTATTTTGTATTTCTTCATCTCATACAATAATTATATGCATTTTTTCTATCAAAGAAGAATACAATACATGTTTATTTGTTTTGACCTGCCAGTGTCAGCGCTTATATTATCCCCCTCCCCATACAAAAAAAAAAAAAAACAAAAAAATCATTAACTTAAATTCATATATGATTAAATTGATATTAAAAGATTATCATTATTATTGATGCAACATAGTTATTCTATTCGTACATGAACTCATAAAGAAAATTATATATATAATGACATACATTTGTATTTTGCTGTTATTTTCTCTTCCCGACAATATCTGGAAATCATATAAAAAACAGTATGTTAACTCTTATTATCATAACATAGTAACACACATTTAATTCTTACATACATATATATAATATCTATAGGATGCACACTAACCACTGTCCAATTGTGATGTGCATCCAGTTGTGTTACACATTTATTTTCAGTTAAGTATGAGTTATCTTTCTTGTATCATAAAATTAATTGTTGAAATGGTTCCCATTTTTTTTCTATTTTTTCACCTATTGCAGGAGAACTGTGAAAGGTGGAAGAAAGTTTTTCAATAATATAATAATTTTTCAATTTCTTTAGTGCAATCTTTACACAATGTAACAGTGAGCTCAATCTACAAGAATAAATATAGTACTTCATGAGAACAGTGAAAAAATTTCCAGAGATATCTATAATATCTGATCCCAAGAGGATGTTTTGTTTTGATATTAGAAGCTCATAATTGCTATCTGAATGTAATGTATCAACTAGTTGAAGCCAAAAATTTTTGACAATGTAACATTCCCAAAAAATATGTTCTATTGTCTCTTTTGTTTCATTGCAAAAACTGCATAGGTGCGTTTCTTTAAGTTTACACTTGTATAGCAGATCATTTGTGCATAAAATTCTGTGCAGAATTTTGTATTGAAAAATGATCAGTTTATTACTCAAAGAACACTTGAAAGGATGCATATAGAAAAGATCCCAGTGACCTATTTCCTTTGCAAAATTACTTTCCATTTATTTTGTGATTTTATGGGGTTTTCATGATAAGTAGACACAAATAATTTATAAAAATATGGGCATGATTTCTGATTTGTTTTTAAATAGTCTAAATTATCGCAAGTAATGTTGATTTTCTTTTCACAGTTTTTGATGTGGTCCTTCCAACTACTTGGGATCATATGATATATACCATAGAATTGAAGAAAATTTGTATCAATATCGT